TGCAGAACCAGGAATTCCCCACTTTGATTTCCCCCATAATATGAGTCCTTGAGCAAATAACCTGGCCTCCCTAGCCTCTGTATCCTAAGTACTAAAAATGTTTACATATTTGCTTCTCAGTATTATTGAGAGGATTAAATGAAAAAAAATGTAGCTTTCATTTATAAGTGTTTACTATGTGCCAAGCATTTTTAGAAGCAATTAAATACATATAAATTCATTAGCTATAACCCTATAAGATGCTGGAATTATTTTTCCATCTTACAGAGAAGGAAACAGAGGCACAGAGATATTAAGCAACTTGCCCACAGTTAAATAGCTGGTGAGACACTAGGGTGCTTTTTTGTATACTGAGTACTCTGTAGGGTGCCCAGTGCACAGAAGGTGTACCATGAACAATGCTCTCTTCTCCTTCATAATTCAAGACACTGTTCCTTTCCACCCTTTGTGATGCAGTTGATGATTCTCATCACTTTTGAGAAGGAAAACAATTTGATTTGAGCTAAATTGCTAAGTGAAGAGGTCCTCTTCTACAAGGTTGGTCATTCGTAGATGGTGCCAGCCATCTCCCAGCTAGTCATAGGTTTGGGGGGAACCTACTGCACTCCACCCCCAATTCCTGTGATAATAGCCATAAGACAGTTACACGTGGCTATGAAATGATTCCAACTTCACAAATATTCCACTCTTTACTTCTTCTAAAAGATTTTTTAAATTATTTTTTATTGAAGTTGACCAGCCAGGAGACAGAGACATTCCACTGATCTCCAATGAGATGCCTCAGGAAAAGAAAATTTGCTTGACTGCGATAACTTATGTTTTTCTTGATCTTGATCACATGTGATGCTATCTTAGGTACTGTGAGCCTTCAGACAGAAAAAAACATGGGCACACCCTTTTATAAATGAAAGTTTCTACTAAACAGGACTGAAAACATCTAAACCGCTTCCTCCCTATTCCTGGATAGTTTAGAAATGGCATGTTCTAGAACTAGGTTCAACTCATTAAAGATCATGGCCTTTGTTTTTAAGTTGTAGATGGAAACAATACATTTATGCATGCATGCATGTATGTATGTATGGTGGTGCTGAGGATCGAACCCTGTGTCTCTTACATGCCAGGCAAGTGTTCTACCACTGAGCCACAACCCCAGCCCCAAGATCATGAACTTTTAGAGTTGAATGTTTTAAGTAACAACAGATCCTGCCAAAATTCATACTCCCTGTGGAGAAAGATAAAAACATCCATGAGTGTCACAGGGAGCGCTTCCTGGCTTGATCCCTGGTCACTCTGGGTGACCCCCCTCCCTCCCAGATGTCTTTCCCTCTGTTGTAAGACTCAAGCTCCTCCATCTGGTGGGTGTTCTGCCTCCAGCCCTGAACTTCACACAGCCTGTCTACCCAGTCACTGAAGTCGTCTCTCCCTTATCCCCCTTTTCAATATAGTGAGGGTACAGCTGACATGAGAGCTAGGTCCTAAAGACAGCATGAAAGCAAAAACTGTGTCCAAATTGCCATGTTGAAGCCCTGGGGGAGCGTGATGGTGGAGAGCCACCTAGCATCCCTCCAAAAGCCCATCCCTGCCAAGGGCACTCCTTCACTGAGACAAGTGGCAGTGGCCCCACAGAGCTGTGTCAGGGAAGGAGGAACTGAGATGGGTGAAAAGAGGGACACACTCAGAACTCAAGCTGGAACACGCCTTTCATTGGTGGAGGAGATGGACCGACCCACATCATCCCTCCCCCTGGAGCGTATCTAGTTGCATTCCTGGGAAGTTAATTACCTGAGCTGGGACTCAGCTCTACTGCACTGGCTTGGAGATGCAGCCCCAAATCACAGGTGTGTCACAATCCAGCTTCTTTCTTTCTCTCACACTTTGTTCTCTTTGATTGCAGACACCTGCAGTTCCTCATGGGAGTCCTCTGCTCACCTTTTTCCTCTGCCTAGAGTACCTAAGTCCTCCTCCCTCCCTCCTCTTAATACAGCCTCCTGGAAGTCACCCCATGCCCTGCAAGGACCCAATCACCTCTCTTCTCATACGAGGTCATGCCACACTGTCCAGTCTCCCGACCCTGACCAGGCTGTGCACACCAGGGGAGTGGGCCACATATGGTTCATATCTACAGTGGTGCCCAGTACTTGCTCGAACAATGAAGGAGTATACATCTCATCCCAGGCAACAATGACTCAGAGCTAAATGATAGCTCAAGCTGCTCACCCACAGTTCAGGCTCCTAAAACACCCTCAACCAAATCCACACCCTGTTTTTGCTACAGTTTGCTGCACATTGTGCCTGGCTCTGCAGAGTGAGCGTTCCAAGTCTAGGGCCGTCCGGTGTAACTGAAACCACAGGTTTAGCTTTATATCTGCACTTATCCAATTACCAATCAACATTTCCCTGATGGCTCCTGTGGGAACAGCTCTGGGTCCAAGAGTATAATGAAAGTTTCTTAATGGAGGATCCTGCCAAAAGGCTATTTTGAGAGACCGGGAGACCTCCTGGGAAATAACTCATCCTTCAGAAAGGTTGGTCCAAGAACATTGATTTTGAGGTTCAGGAAAACTCCTCTCGTCTCCAGGGCTCATGTCTGAGTTCTAAGAAGATGGAATTGCAAGAAAGGCTGAAATGGCCCTCGAAGCTACAAGGCATCAGGAGGAGTGACAAGGTTCCCCAGGGCTCACATGCTGTAGGAGATGGCCTTGTGGTCCCGGTCCTTTACCCTATATTCATGCCCTTTGCAGTGTGACTTTGTAGCTCTCACTAAAGGGGCAGAAAATATTTTCCTGTTCCTTGACTTTGGGTATGGCCATGTGCCTTGCTATGGCCAATAGAAAAGTCTGATATAACAGTGGGGCAATTCTGCCCCTAGGCCTTAAGGGCCATTGCATGGTTTTGCTTGTCCTTGAGCAATTTCATCATGCAGTGAGAATATGCCCATGCTAGGCCATTGGTTCCCCAGGGGCAAGTAAAGACACAGAGTTAAACTGGGCCACCCAAGACTGGAGTTTACCTTCCACTGAACCCAGAGGAATGAACAAGTCAGTCATCATCCAGCTGAATCCAGCCAATCTCACCTGACCTGAGAATAAATGATTGCTGTCTCATGCCATGTGTTTGAGGGTGGTTTGTTATGCAGCATCTTTGGTAGCAATAGCTAGTTGATACATGTGGGGTCTGGTCCCTGGCCACCACATTAGTTATTCTGGCATTACTGACTGGATCCACAGAGGACACCTGATACTAATCACACTTCTGAAAGACCAAGTTGGGGCAGAGGTGGCAGCTTTAGTCATACGGTGCTTTACTGACCATGAGCCTTGATTTTTATATCTTAATCCACAGAAAGCACAACTAAAAAAAAAGCTGGATTTGTCTACCCACTAATGGGTAGCAAGAGCAATAGGATTTTCCTTACTTAAAATTTAACCTTGGATCAAGTAAATTATTATCCCACATCAAATTTTCTATGATCTACAATAAATTTCCAGTATTTATAGTCTGCTTTGAAGTTAAAAAAAAATCCATGTGATTTTTGTTTATTACTCTTTCCCTAAAACACTTTTTGGAAGAGCTCCTCAAAATTAAAATTAATGAGCTGATAATTTATGAAATTTCTTTAGAATTGGTTTTTCTAGTAACCCTGGAAGGCCTTTCTAAGTTAAGCAATCCCAATATCTACTTCATGAGTTTAAAGTAATTTTTTAAGATTGGCAAAGAATATGCTACTTTAAGCTGCCATTTTTCCCCAGTGTAAAAGTGAAGTTAATGAAGTAATATTTAAGTGGTTTGGAAGAGTATTTGTGTGTATGTTGCCATTGGGAGAAGGCAGTTGGGGAGATACACCTTCCTGTAAAAATTCAAAACAGAAGAAAAGGCATCTTAGCATTGATGAATAAAAGACTGTTTATTTTTGGTACCGAGAATTGAACCTAGGGGCACTCAACCACTGAGCCACATCCCCAGGCCTTTTAAAATTTATTTTGAGACAGGGTCTTGCTAAGTTTCTTAGGGCCTAATTAAGTTGCTGAGGCTGGCTTTGAACCTATGATCCTCCTAAAAGATTATTTATCATAAAAAAAAAGCAAAAATGCCCTAGTGTAGTTACTCATTCATGATGGGATATTTCTTTAATTACATCCCAATTTAACTCTCGGCAATGCGAGTAAGGGACATGTTTGGCATTTTAGAGACTAGCTAAAAGAACTGAGGACTGCTTTGAGAAATGGTAATAAATCTTACAGAGGGGTTTCTGGCCCCAAGGCTAACGACAATCTTTCAGAAGGTATTGTTCCAAAAGGAAACCATTCTTGAAATGTGGCTAAATGATTCAGGACCAGCACCTTCATCCTAAAAGAAGTCTAAAATAAAAGGTTGGCAAAGAGAAAACAGAAAGCCTCTGTACCGTTCACCTTTAGCCTAGGGGGACTTGCATACTGCAGGAGGAAACCCTGAAATAATAAAGACAGTCTGCTTGGACCAGATCAGCCTGCCCCTTGACTTTACCACTGTTATGCTACAGAAACATGACTTGCTGCTAAAGCCAGAAAGATAATACTGTTCAGTGTGTGTGTGTGTGTGTGTGTGTGTGTGTTTTGGGGAAACAACTTTATATAGTAAAAGGTTAAATCATGACATCATCCCAAAAGGTCCAACGTTAGCAATACCATATGGTTCAACTTAATAGAATGAGTAAACATAAAATATCCTCCCAGTGCACGAATACTCTTAAAAATTAGAAATCTAAGCTAAATTGTGAAATATGTGAAATTGCAAACAAAATCCAAACTATCTTCCCCAAATCATAGCTATTGTTAAAAATTATAACATACTTAACAAAAACATGCACGCGTGCGCATACACACACACACAGAGTATAGGACCATAACCCACCAAAGCGGTTTACCTTTATGGTAGGGAAATCTGAACATTCAGGCTTGGGGCCTGGAATTAAGAAAAACTGAACTTCTCAGAACAATGTCATAAAAGGAACATTGACATACCTGGAGAGCAGCAGTTTACCCCGGAGCTGCAGGTCGGCAGCACAGTCCTCAGATCGGCAATTCCTTTCAAAAACAGTCTGTGAAAGAAATGATAGAAAGGTTGGAATAGGGTTTATGGGCAAAGCAGTAAGTGATGGCCTATTGCCTCTTGCAAAGCAGTAGAAATTCTTCCTTCAGGCCCTCCAAGCCTCTCCTCCCACCTCCAAGAAGCCGGCTCCCTGGCAGGGTGAGGGAAGCTTCTCGAGGTTCCACAGAAGCCTAAATCAACAGTGGTCTTGATTCATGAGTGCATTCCTTACTTGATTCACTTCTCAGTCTCCTGAAGCACTTCTTCAGGAAGCATACGTGACTGGTATCCTTTCGTCTATGCTTTTCTGACAAAAACCTTTTAGATGCTCTTGGACATGCATGAATAATCATTCCATGAAGTAAGTAATTCTTAGATTACAGTCAGGTCATTTTCCCCATTTGTTCTCTTGGGGAAGAGAAAAATCTGCATTGGAGAAAGGCTCGGCATAAGCAACGGGACCATATTAAATGGTTAGGTCCAAAGGGAAATGTCAAAGGCAATCAGGCCATTAGACAGAGGGCAGCATAATGGGACAGAAGAGATGCTTTCCAGTTTCTGGGGGAAGCAGCTAGTGGTTAGCAGGGAATAGTGGCTTTTCTCTAACCGAGACTAGGCCTCCACAGTCAAAGCCCCACCCAGTGCTGGGGCCTGAGGCTCTGTGGTTAAAACCAACATTACTTGCAGAGAGCTTGCCCAAATGTGTAAGGAAGCTTCATGGAGGGTGGCCAGGGAATCAGGAACAGCACTTTGTTGTAAGGGATAGAGTTTTCTTCTCTCTGCAGCACATGGATAGCTTGTTAGTATGTCCCTCCATGTGATCTCAACCTCTCTGAGGTTTCTGGTGTAGAGACAGCAGTCTCCCTATGCTTCGGAAGATCTTCACTATCGTTAAGATGGCTTTGATCATCTCAGTGGGGTTTGGAGAGAAGAACCTGATGCCCTTGTTTGTTGTTGTGATTTATTTACCATTAAACTTCATTGTCACTCCTCATGGCTGCGAGGGCTTTTTTTTTTCCTCCCCGATAGCAGAGTTTGGGGTAATAGCCCATAGCAGAAGCATAGGTGGCTTCTCAGAGTGCCAGCGTGGACTCCAACAAACTTGCTGGCCAATGGATAGTCTAGACTCAACCAGACAGGGTAATTTTGCCTATGGAAATTCATATTCCTGTGCCACGTTTCCAAAAGAATAGAGTGTCCCAGCCAACATTCCCTTCCTTGATTATAGGAGGAAAAATCATGGAATTCTTGGGCAATATGAGGAAATTCCTATGTTCTTTTGGACACTAACGGGGGCAAGGAAAGAGCCAGATCTCCAGGAGACTTCAGAGTAAGACTTTTGTGCTTGCTTTGCAATCTCGACCAGGCTCAAAGCAGGAGGAAGAGGGCTTAGGAGCTGCAACATGCCAGGCAAAAAATGCTTTGTGAGCCTAGAACTAACAAAGAAGCACCAAGGGTGGCCTCCCCACCAACCGGATCCAACTTACACTTGAAGGTCCCCTGACACAGCCCCTGCATGGCCTTGAACCTAACTTTGTATTCCCAAATCTACATTTTTTTCCTTCAAGCCCTTCCCTCCCCCTCAACCGTATAGACTTTGGGCCCCACAAAACCCAGATGTACCCCCGGGGTTAGCCTCTTCCACACACGTGCCTCCCATCACAGAGGCTGGTCACCGTCTGACCCCTGGGCTTTGGAGGTGGGATGGAGGGGCATGATGGGTGGGGTAGGAAGCAGGTGAAAACTGAAAAGGAAGATGTCACCTAAACCCATCCTGTGACATATCGGCTTCGAGTTCCGGGCCCTGCCCTCCCGATCTCTGTCATCCTGGCTCTCGTGCCAGCTGTGCCCTGGACTGGCCTTGCAATTTCCTCACTACATATAAGTGAGCACCACTGGGGCCTCCTGGGTGATAGTGACGAGAAAGGACAATGGAGATGAAGAGCAGATGTGACTATGTCTCTACAGGTGACTGTGTTCTCCACGTCCAAAAATGACACTTCCAGCGAGACTTTGACAACCCCATCACGGAGAGGCAGAATCTAGCGCTTCCTTCCTGCCATGGGGAGGATCTGTGGTTACAGTGGAAATAACGTTATGTGACGTCCAAGGCTCAGCCATGAAAAGCAACAGCTTTCACTTCTTTTGCTTGGGGCTTTTTTCTTGGAGCTTGGCCACTCTGCGCAGAGGAAAGCCCAGCTGGCCCCAGAGAGGCTCATATGGAGAGAATAGGCGATCCCCTCAGCTCGGAGGCTGAGTGAGCCATCAAGGAAGTGGGACTCTCAGGGGTCCCCACTGACAGGTACCTGGTGGAGCAAAGATGAGGTGTTCTGACCAAGTCCTACCAAATTGCCAATTCACAATTTTCCTTTTTCTCTTTTTTTTTTTTTTTGGCTGTTAACCAATTTCTTGCTCATTCCCTTGTGCTTAGGAAATTTGTTAAGATTTGTTTTGTGACCCAACACGTGTTCTACCCTGAAAGTGTTCCTTGTGCACTTGGAAAAACCTGTATTCTGTCGGGGCAAAGTGTTATGTGTGTCCATTAGGTTGTCTGATCGACAAACGTTGTTCCAATCTGCTCTGCCTTTATTGATTTTCTGACTGGATGCTCTATTCGTTGTTGAAAGTGAGGCACTGAAATCTATTACTGGACCGCTGTCAAGTTCTCCTTTCAGATCTGTCAATATTTGCTTCAGATATGCAAGTATTCTGATGTTGGGTGCATACATATTGATAACCGTTGTATCTCCTTGTTGACCCTTTAATCCCTTCTTTGTGTCTGGAGAAGCTTTTAACTGCAAGTCCACTTTGATGTGAGTAGAAGCTGCTCCTGCCTTCTCTGGTTTATCGTTGCCTGGACTCTTCTCCCATTCCTCTGTACATCCCTGAATCTAAAGTGAGTGAGCCTCTTGTAGACAGCACACATTGGACGTGTGTGTGTGTGTGTGTGTGTGTGTTTAATCCATTCAGTCACCATGTAGCCTTTTATTGAGGAGTTTAGCCAATTTACATTTAAAGTAAGTATGAATATGGAAGGGTTTTCTAAGCTGGGCATGGTGGTGCATGCCTATAATCCCAGTGACTCAAGAGGCTGAGGCAAGAGGATTACAAGTTTGAGGCCAGCCTTAGCAACACAGTGAGACTGTGTCTCAAAATAAAAAGGACGGGAGATATGGCTCAGTGGTAAAGCAGGCTTAGGTTCAATCTCTAATACCAAAAAAAAAGGAAGGAATTCCTGTCATTTTGATAGTTTTTTTTCCTATATGCCTTATAGTTCTTGTGGCACCTTTTTCTCACTGTTTTCTTCCGTGTTATCACCCCCCCCCTTTTTTTTGGTAACTTCTATGCGTATTTGTAGTTACCAATGGGCTTACATAAAATATCTTCTGTAATAAGGTCTCTACTGACAGTCTATTAGATGCTGAGAGCTTCACCTACACAAAGGAACTCTGAGTTTCCCTTTACTTCCCCCCTACATCATATGCTGTTGATGCCCCAATTTACCACAACCAGCACAATTTATAGTTCCTTTTATCTTTTAACTGCTACCATAGAATTATAGGTGATGGTCTCACCCCTTCTACAGTGGTATGATATTATGTTTCTGTCTATATCTACCTTTGCCAACAAGTTTCCCATCTCCTCATTTCTCTTATTGCTGGCTTAGAGTCCTTTCATTTCAACTTGAACCCCCTTAAGCGTTTCTGGTGAAGTATGCCTAGGGGCAAAAGAAGTCTGTACTGCGCCCTCACTACTGAAGGGCAGGTTTTCTAGATAAGTATTCTGGGCAAGCATTTTCTTTCCTTCAACTTTGAGTATGTCATTCCACGCCTTTCTGTTCTGCAAGGTTTCTGCTGGAAAAGCCACACTGTGGAAATGCAAATCAAAACCACCCTGCCATAGGATGGCTATTGTCAGAGAAGAGGTCGCCAGGGTTGGGTGAGGGTGTGGAGAAAAGGGAGCCCTTATGTGTGACTGACAGAACATGAATTGGTACAGCTGAGATGAAAACTGATATGAAAGTTCCTCAAAACATTGAAAATAGAGCTGCCATATGATCCGGCAAGCCTAAAGGAAACGAAATCAGCACCTTTTAGGGATATCTGCACTCCCAGGTTTATTATAACACCATTCACCCTTGATAACATAGGAAGCAACCCATCTGTCAACAGGTAAATGGATGAAGAAGTTTTCATAAGTACAAATGCTCCTCCACTCCTAAGGTGGCCAAAACCTGAAATCCACTCTTAAGTTGAAAATATCTTAAGTAAAATATGCATTTCATACACCTAACCTGCCAAATATCATAGATCAGCCTCACCTACCTTAAACACGCCCACAACACTTACATTAGTCTCCAGTTAGACAAAATCATCTAACATGAATCCTATATAATGAGGTGTTGAACATCTTAAGTAACTTACTGAATACTATACTGAAAGTGGAGGAAAAAAACAGAATGGTTATGTGGGCACACTTTCACACCATCATAAAGAAGAAAAAGCATAAGTCTAACCATCGTAAGTGGAGGAATGCATATCTGTCGTGGAATATTATTCAGTCTTAAAAAGGAGATCCCGAGCTGGGGTTGTAGCTCAGAGGTGGAGCGCTTGCCTAGCATGTGTGAAGCACTGGGTTCAATCCTCAGCACCATATAAAAATAAAGTCATTGTGTCCACCTATAACTAAAAAATGAATATCAAAAAAAAGGAGATCCTGCCATTTTCGACAATATGAAGAGAACTGCAGGATATTATGCAAAGTGAAATAAGCCAGACACAGAAAGAAAAGTACTGCATGTTCTCACTTATGTGTGGACTCTAAAAGAGCTCAAGAACCAGAAACAGAGAAAACAATTTTGTTGGTTACCAAGGGTGAGGGATGAGGGAAGGGAATGGGGTGATGTTGGTCAAAGGTACATAGTTATATTGGATAAGTCTAAAGACTTATTCTGAGGTACAGAATGACCATTCTAGTTAATAACACTGTCTTGTATACTGGAAATTTACC